GAAACAGTAAGAAAATTAGGTTGACACACCGACAACTTTTTATTAGATGTAATAATTCAGTGTATCAATCAATTTTTTTATTTTTTCAATTGAAATCAAAAAGTTATCGGATCTTAGTGTATAATACTTTTTTTTTTATTTTATGGTCTTGTATCAGTCGCAGTACGCATAGTAGTTTTTTCAATGGCCCCCTGTATACTTCAGGACAGTCTGTATAAGATGATATTATTTACCTCTGATATTCTGCATCTTTGACAATATGTTCGGTTATCCTTTTCCTGCGCTCGTACGTCTTCACATTCACTCGTTCGTCTTCACTAGATAGGTTAAAAAAAGTAAGGTAAGAATTTTTGCCTATTACTAACGATAAGATGTGTTTCATACCTTCTATCAACTGGGTCCAACATAGTCCTGTTTTCTTCATATTTATCAACGCATTCAGTTGCGGTAGCGGGTAAACATCCAGGATTAGGTAAATCCTCGAACAAATACATGTTACTTCCACTACAACAGAATAAACTAAAGACCAAAAACAGTTTTAGATATGGTATAAACTAACGATGTAGACTTCTCCAGATGGAACTTTTTCCGAGCAGTAGCTGCTCGATTACGTTTGCGCGTTTGCGAAATGTAACCTTTGTTGGTCTGCTTACGGTTACCCATATCTTGCAATTCAATTTTACAATTAGCAAATGATTGAGCATTGAACAACAGGTACAGTAGCGAACAAGAAAGTTTACCATTAACATTGTTTCATTGTAATTGTATTCTTATAATGACGACGTTGATGAGTAAAACTTATTGCTCGCGATTGTATATTATGCACGTACCTACCTAATAGCTACTAGTACTACAAAATACTTACAGGTTTCATACACAACACAAACTTCTAAAATTTACGCTAAAACATTTTCATGGATATAAAACCAAAAGTTGATACTAAATATCAAAAAAAAAATGTAAAAAACAATCTACACAAAATAATAAACAAAATAAATAAGCAAACTAAACAACATATTTCTAAACAAATTATTTTATTTTTTAAATAATTACAGTTTATAAAACAGTATAAAATCTAGTTACCTTGCGTAAAATGAAACAAATTCTTAAAAAGTCTTTAAAAAGACTGGTCGTAATGGAAAGAAAATAAATTGCTGAAAAACACGAACAACAAACACCCGACGAGATCAACCAACGCACGGAAGGTAGAAAAGCGAAATGAACAAATGAGACTCACACCGCACATAGAGACAAAAGGGGAATCCCGGGTTCTAACCAGTTCTAACCGAAGCCGAGTCGTGAATTTATTTTATTCCTCAAACAGCGCTTGGCGCGTCATCTATGAACTAAAATATTGTGAAACAAGCCAAATGGTATTTTTCAAGGTCATTTCACGCACGAACAAAGTTTAATACGACCTTAA